GATTTCTTAGGCCTATATTCTAAGGGTAATTTATGTCATCAATTTGCAGCAAGAGGACCTGTTGGCTCTTCTCCGGGAGGAAGAAAGTGCAGAAGATAAGTTGGTGCAGACCGATTTAAGTGATGAAGACCTGGAAAGAGTGATGGACCGCAGCGACTTACTTGCCCTTCATTCCCAAGATGCGAAAGCCAATTCTCAGGCATGTTCAAATGCCATTCCTCTGAAAGGACCTGGCTGGGAGGTTGTTATTCCTACCGCGACCGGTGGCATGTTATCTTCCCTTAACGAATGACTTTCTGGTGTTCTTATGTATTCATCTTTCATGGTTTCTAGTATGTTGTACTACTAGTTTTTGTCAGAGCTCCCCAAACCGAATACAGATTGAAATTGACATGTTTTCCTCATTTTGTATTTGCTGAGAGGATTCATGCAATGGGGGGAAGCTGATTAGCTTTTTTTGTTTGTTTTTTGTAAATTGAATGTTGAGCACTGACAGTGCAAATTTGTATGGCAGTGACATTTTATGCCCCCTTTCTATTTGTATTTTGAAAACTATTTCACAAATAGTCTTTTTCACCAAATATGGCAAAATATTTCACATTTCACATTTTATGTGATCAGTTATTAAAAGTTTTTTTCCAAAGAAAGGGAAGAAAATATTTTAGATGGTGCAAAAAGAAAAAGAAATTAATGGAAGAGGGAGTATTTGGCTACTACAAAATTTTAATAATAGAATAACAGTGGGAGTGAAAAGGATTAGTGGGTTATCGTCTGGAAAGGAAATCTGACGCCAGTCCAAAAGATATTAAGAAACAAAAAGTTCCGTTGCCGGGAATCGAACCCGGATCTCCTGGGTGAAAGCCAGATATCCTAACCGTTGGACTACAACGGAATGGTGCTTGATGAGAGGTCGTTTTAATATCAATACTAAACAACAAGTTATCGTTGAATGAACCAGCTAGTGCATGTTCCATTTTTTCTATAGCTAGAAAGAACTGGACCAATTAGACGATTACATCTTTAGTTAGTACTAACTTTGTCCCAAATATATAAATTTTAGAAGAAATTACATAATTAGTCCTTTATAACATGGGGTTTCCATATTTAGTTCTCTATTATCAAATATTACCCTTGTAGTCATTTTTTAAGGGTGCCTTTCTACAAATGGTCCTTTTTTTGATCTTTCGTCATGTGAGTGTTAATTTAAAGGCTAAAAGTATAATTTGACATCAACATTATGTCTAGTGACGTGTTCTGATATTGGTTAAGTGGATAACACGAAAATAATGACTATGATTGTGGGCTAAGATTCCGACGGAAGACCACATTTGTACACTATGGTTGTAGTAGAAAGCGAATGTAATTCACAAATGACGCAAACGGAACAACCTTTGGAATTGTGTATGACAAAAAAGATATATTATCATTGTGAAATTACTCGTTTAGCCCTCAAATTAACTCCAAAATGATAGAAGATCAAAAAGGGACTATTTGTGGAAAGATCCACATAAAAGAAGGACCATTGGGGTAATATTTGATAATAGATGACTAAATAGGCAAACTCTCTGTTATAAAAGACCAATTATGGAATTTACTCTAAATTTTATATTTTAATTCCTCACCAATTTTTAAATAATTTGAATTGAAAAAAATTTCATTCAGATCTGATTAACAAAAGATGACTCTTTTTGGAATGAATGAGATGCTATCTATAAGATCAAAGTTTATTCACTCTTTTTCTTATTTTTGTAGAGGGGTTTGCTGCTAACATTGGAAAAACGGGTTTCAATGTGCAATCCTCATCCACCTTTATATTTTGGTTCCCATTTCTATCATCTCCTATGTGGGAGTTGGTTTGCTCCCAACAATGAGCTCAAACAAGAATTGAGTTAGAAATGTTTCTAGTAAGATTATCTTTAATTATTACTCACTCCGTCCAAGTTTATGCTTTTCGTTTTAACTTGGCATGACACTCGAACAATGATGCTCAATCTGAAAGTCGTTTGAGCGTGAGTGTTTGTGAAGTAATATGTCATATGTAAGGATTGACTGTGAATATTGTGTAGTTAGAATATAGTTTTGGCACTTAATAATGCGAGTCATTATGCATATGAAAGTAAAGTATTTATTCTTGAGTGTCTTTGATGCAAATGTAGCGATGTGGTTACTTTATTTTAAATAAACATCTTTTAACTACAAATATGTTCTATGGCAACTTAATTTGAGTGGCCACTCAAAGTGAGTGGCCACAGAACTAGACCGTTTTAACTCTTGTTAGTCTCACATTACGAAGTCTAAATTGTCATTTAGAATTCAATGTATGTTCAATAATATACTTGAGATTCATAATTAATCACTTAACATTCGTGTAAACATAATTATGAACAAAAATGGTCTCACGTTAGCAGGGGAGGAACCGGATTTGAGGTTACCACTAACCCAGGTCCATTTTCATACGTCTTGTGATGATGGCCTAAAAAAAATGAAAACACTTGCTCTGAATTTATAGATTTATTTGGATTGGATGGTTACAATGAATAATAAAAATAAATTGTTAATGGACCCTTGTTGATAATTAAAAAATTGTCACAATGAATAATCTCCTTTTCTTTTGAGGAGAATAATCTCCTTGTTGATAATTAAACCTTGTTGAATTATTTGAATGGTTACAAGGAATAATCTCCTTGTTGATAAATTGTTATTTGGATGGCGTGCCATATATCAAAACGTTCGTCTCACTTGGGAGAACACGCATCCGTTGATTAACGAACAAAACCATTAGTAGACCCTTGTTGATTGGCTATTCAAATGCCAATCTAACCCATTTTTCCCAACATCTACAAAGTGAAGATCTAATTCACCTTTGGAAGGGAAATGAACTTGACTTGATGCCAAACTTACATCAGAAGAAGCTAACACCCCTGGGATTGCATATGCATCCTTCATCATTCACCATAACATCACAAAAGAGAGTAGTACAAGATTATACGTCTATTATACAATGATCTAAACGGTGCTAGAGATGCATTTAAACAAACAAACCAAAAACTGAATGCCACATTTGAATCAAAGCAAAAATTAAGCTTTGGAATCAAAGGTTTTTGATGTGAATGTTGCTCACTGGCACGAGGCATTCAAAATAACCAAAAACATCATGATTGTCGCCGTACCTATCAGAATCAAAGACCACAAAATCGTCGGAAGCAAGATTAAACAAATACATACCGGCTTTCATCTCATCACTCCTTTTCTCTTCTTCTCCGGGTTCATCTTCGCAAGTTTGAATCGCGAAAACATCGCAGACGATCCGATTCCTCCAGATCGTCAATGGGTGTAAATAGCACGGATAAGGGCCACGGGTAAACTTCTTAGTCCAACTCAATCTCGCATCACAACCGCCCCCAATGCCCTCGTCACAAATCACCCACAAATCAATGAAAGTATGTCTTGAGTCGACAGCATCGGAGCAGTAGTAATAGAGTATGGCAAGTCTGTCCTCATACACAGCCAGCTTAGCACCTATATTCCTTGATAAAGGAGGTGGTGCAATCAACTTGAACTCTTCCATTGCCAGGTCAAAAGAAACAATGAAATAAGCATCATCTCCCCCATCAAATGCCAAGCCTCTCTTCACTGTGACCCAGAAGATGGATCCATTAACGCAGACACAGTCACTGAGAAAGCTTATAGCCTCCAACGGGGTGAATTCTACCCCCTTCCACGAATTCGTGCTCAACGAATAAACTTCAACTCCACTAACAACATCACCAGTTTTTGCATAAGTTGTCACTATCATGTAATCGTTAACGATTGGACTGAAGGCGAATCCCAGAACACAATCGAATCGAAAATCATTGATTGTTCTACTTCTAGGCACCTGTATAACCTCTCTAATTGCAGGATTCCAGAGTAGAATCGTAGGAGGGAAAACACCGCGCAGATCGATCTGGACGCAGAGCAATCCGTTGCTGGAGCCGACGATCCTGGCGGACCTGAAGGAGTCGATCGAAGGTCCGTTGTGAACATCGCGGAGATGCAAGTCGCGATCGAGCAAGTACAGATTCAGGGAATCGCCGACGAGATTCCGCTGGAAGACGAGGGAAGGGTTTTGAAGGTGGGAGTGGCCGAGGTGTTCGGAGATGAAGGAAGGCGTGTTGATGAGATTCTTCCAGAGACTGCAAACGCTTCGAAACCGGATCAAGGATTTCACTGGGAGTCGCTTGAGAATGTTGAAGACGATTTCCTCGGAGAGGAATGGAATGCCGCAATCGATCTCCACTAGCTTCATAATGCTCAATGGCGCCGGCGACCCAAAACTCTCCGGGAAAGCCCTTCTCTTCTCATTTTCCATTTGCGTAATCAATATTTTCAGTCATTCAAAATGTGAAGTCTTTAGTCATAGCAATTTTGGTACACAAAATTCAAACTATGAAATTGGAATGGAAAATAACAATTTTAATTTTGTTGTTTGATATCACAAAAATATGTGTATTTAGAATGGGTAGTATAAAAAATGTATTGGAATGGGAGAATTCAATTCCATAAAATTTCAATTCTCAAATCAATTTCAATTCCATTAATTTTATGTACCAAACGGATCCCGATGATTCTTTTAGTTTTGATCTCATTGAAATGAGTTCTAATCTGATTTGAATGAAATAAGTTTTGATCAGATTAAAATATACTCCATAATTATACTTAAAACAATTTTTTATATGATCTAATTTCAATAAGAATAAGTATCGGTTTTGATTTCGGTTCTGGACATTGTTAACCGAAACCGACCAAACAACCGAGTGGATAATATGTTTATTAAATACATGTAAGCCCAACCCAAATATCTAAAGTTACAGCCCAGTCCATTATTCTAAAATCATAAAGTGGGCTGGTCACTATTCATTACCTCCGTCATAAGTCTCCCAAGTAGTCCCAACCCAAATGTGTTTTACGGAGTAAGTTACAACCTCGACTCCATCGCCTCCTCGAGACCTGGACTCCTTTCCTTAGATCGTCCGCCGCCCGTCTCCTTCCTCGACTCCATCGTCGCCGGTGCCTTTTCCGTCGATTGTAAACTCCGGTGCCGATTGCATGGTTTTCGATTTTGTGTGGGTGTATGTGTCCGCCAATCATCCACCATCTCGATTCTGATTCTCGCTTGACCGTTTTGCCTTTTCAAGGATTTCACCAGAATCATCAGGTATGTATCTCAGAATATATGTACTCCGTGTTCTAACTGTTTATCTTCTTCTCGTATATATATACTTCTATTCTTGCAGCAGCATCCAGTAGGTAGAGTAGATTTTAGGGATGATGAAGCTTTTCGATTTTGTTTTCCTCGGTTAGGTTTGTTCGGTTTTAACACTAATTCAGTTCGGTTTCGATCGGTTTTTGTGAGTAATGAATCGAAACTGAAACTGTGTTAGTAGTCTCACGAAATCTGTATTTGTGCATTTTCTGATTTTTGAGGGTAGGGGTGTTCGTCTTCGGTCCGATTGGTCCAGACAGAACCAGAACCTAAAGGATTTCAGATAGGTCTTCGGTCCGAACTATTTCTAATTTCCGGTTTCGGTCCGGTCAGGTACTATCCCTAATTCTCTCACTTAACTCCATCTCGAGAGCCTGAGACTGAGAGGGATTCGCCGAGAGCCTACGCCGTTCGCAGACTCCCAGCCATCTCCAAGATTGGGGTCTCTCCTTCGGCGTCTCGCCTTCCCCTTCGCCGTCTTGCAGTCCCAACCATCTCAATCTGCAACGTCTCACCTTCGCCGTCTCGCAGAGCCGAAAGAAATCTGGTACTGATACTCATCTCTCTTCTCCCTCGTCTCCTTCTCTGTAATCCATACTCTTCTTCTCTATTAGGTTTTTTTCTTGTTAAATTATTTCCATGTTATTTGTAAGGCTTAGCCAAATTGTATTATTCTTAGATTTTGTTTCCAAATAACATTTGAAACTTTTAAATTTGGCTAAGGTGGCTGATTGTAAATTGTTAAAAAAAACAGCAATGTCAATTGTTAAAAAAAATACAGCAATGACAATTGTTAAAAAAAGACTTGAGAGTTCTCTGGATTAGTGATGAGTGATGTTGGTGACTGGTGAGTGGTAATTACTCTAAATGTCAATTCTTTAAAAAAAATACAGCAATGACAATGGTTTTAAAAAAACAACAATGTAACTGTTAACAAATGTTTTGGTTGTATAAGATTTAAAAAATTCAACTGAATTTTTTTTGGTCTATTCGGTCTATTCCGGTTCGGTCTAAGAGGTTTCGGTCCGGACCGGTCCAAGACTGATTGAGAATTGGTCCGGTCTTCGGTCCTATATTTTTTCAATTTCGGTCTTCGGTCCGGTCCGGTCCGGTCCTGGACCGATGAACACCCCTATGCGAGGGAGTAATTTCCTAGGGTTGTTTGACTGGATGGAGAAATGTTGAAATCAGCCTTTGAAAGTCTGAAATGGAACTTGAATTGATCTATTTGATTGGGTAGAGTTTGTTTTTTAGCTCTCCTATTTCCCATTGTAGAAGCTTGCTATGCTTTCATCAATCTTCTTCTTTTTTCTTTAAGGTTGAAAAAAATATGGCCACATTGAAGGAGATCATAACTCGGCGTCCCTTAGCAGCGACGATCCGACTAAGGGTTGATGCTGGCGCGGCAAAACCCGGGCCACCAGTGGGTCCGGCCTTAGGTCAATACAAGCTGAACTCCATGGCTTTCTGCAAGGACTTCAATGCCCGGACGCAGAATTACAAGCCAGGAACGCCAATGTCTGTCACCATTTCAGCCTTCAAGGATGGAACATTTGAATTCACCGTGAAGTCACCTTCAGTCGTGTGGTACCTGAAGAAGGCGGCTGGGGTGGAGAGCGGCAGCAGCCGCCCTGGCCATGTCACCGCCTCAACCATAACCCTAAAGCATGTATATGAAATCGCAAAGATCAAGCAGTGCGACCCTTATTGCCAGTACATGTCTCTGGAGTCCATTTCTAAGTCCATTATCGGCACTGCCAACTCAATGGGGATTAAGGTTCAGAGAGAACTGGACTAAGGCCCCTTCGGTAAGGTTTGTTTTTTTTTACTGAAATGATGCAATGTCTTTGCTTTTTGGGGGCATCAAACTGAGTGTTTTTCCAATATACATTACTTCTTCCATTGTGCTGTCTAATTAAATGTTTTGAATCATTAAGAATCAAGCATTGTTATCCTTATTGTTCACAAGCTCTCCAGCTTTGTGACCTTGTGGGATTTTTATGGTTTCATTTTTTGCCTTTTTTGTGCTCTAAAATATGGATAAAAACAAATTGAATTTGGATCACACATATACTGTATAATACGGAGTATTAATTAAGATAGTGAGATGAACAAAACTGGTCTGTTAAGTAAAGTTGTCTCGGTCTGTAATTGGTGTGTCTGCTGTTCTTTAATATCTAAAATTACATGTAATATGTTATAGAAAATATTGCATTTCAAACAAAATAATTGTAATGATGTTATATTTAAATTATAAATTAATGCTTTTTCTGATCATTGTGGGAACAATTAATAAATGAATCAGAGTTCAAAAAACTCACCATCCTTGAACAGGCCATCTCCGGTGGGGATCCGGGAGCCAAGACGACGGCGGCCCTTTTTCCTTCTTCGCCTTCTTCTGCCGCACCACCGCATCGTCTGCCGTCTCCACTCCGGTGGATCCGCCGCCGCCGCATCCCATGTAATTACGGGAGAAGACTTCCATCAGGAAGGTCAACGCCCTGTTCTTCTTCATCTCCCCGATCTTGTCATGTCGGCCGCAGCTCCGCGACCGGGAAATCCGGCCGTACGCGGCCGCCCTTTCCGCCGCATCGGACGCCGCAAGTTCCGACGCCAGCAGAAGCGATCCGTTCCTCCTTCCTCTCCGCCGTGACGCCACCGATGCCGTCTCCGCCTTCATATTTCCGCAACAGATCGCTTCCATCAAACCTCAGTCTTCCTTCACTTTCCCGCTATCTTGTTCTCCGCATCATTTCCACTTAATTCCTCTTTTTATTTTATCTTTCCATTTAATTTAGAGATAAGAATTAAGTTTAAAGAATAAAGTTATTTGTACCAAAAAATTGCATTCACATTGTATCCCAAAGTTATGTGTCAATGTTTTATATTAGTCTGATAATTTACACCGATACTAAATATTAATACAATTTTTTTTATTAAATTAATATTTTGTGCCAGTATAAAACATTAAATTTTGATATTCACTTCTTGACATATTCCATCAAATTCTTATTATTCTTGTACTCCGGTATTTCTCAAATGAGCAATGTTAGGAGTACACCATTTTGGTGTACCCCAAATGTATACCACCCCTTTTCCACCACACATTTTTATTTGATTTTTATTTACTTATTTTTTTTTAAATTTTTTTTGCCTTTTTTAGTGGACAAGGAGAGGGTGGGGGACATTAGGGGTACACATTTGGTGTACCCCTAAAAGCTGTACCCCTAGCATTTTTCTTCTCAATTTTCCAATTACACTTTTACCTGCACTTCCTTCCCTGCTTAATTTCTTTAATAACTAATGTATTTTTAATGTGTTCGTGATTTAATGGGGGAAATAGTGGCAAGTACCTTAGTGTTAATATCGGTATTGGGGTTATGATAAATACTCCATCCGTCCCACTCTTTTTGTCCACTTTCATTTTTGCACACCATCCAATGCACTTCTTTAATCCATTTTATCTTGTAATTTGTATATTAAAAAATTATAAAAATTATATATTAATAATCTATATGTTAAGACAAATCAAACAAGATCACACATGACTATTTTTAGACTTACACATTGAGAGAATTTGATGAGTCAAAGTGCTTAGATGAACAGTTCCAAAAGTCAAAACTGGACAAAAGGAGTGGAACGGAGGTAGTAATAGAATTAGAATTAGGATTTAGATTAGGCATATTAGCTTGGCCAAATAAACTATTTTTCACATTGGCTTCTAAATCCAATAACTTTTGTAAAAAGATCTTGGAATTAGACATAGACTTTGGATGCGCGAAATCCCACTTTGGATACCATAACTGTTTGCTACCCATTTGGTAACTGTCAGATCTCTTTGTTTCATATTCAACATAGAGCCTGATTGAGAATAACGTTAGAGTTTAGGTGATAGCCGAAGCGGATCTGAACAGGGTTCGGTTAGAAATCCTAATGGCTGGAGATGTGATCTCGGTTAGAAATCCAAATTGTCCTTGTGATCTCGGTAGAGATGTGATAGCCGAAACAAATCTAAACAGGTTTCGTGTTATAAATCCTAGATTAGAAGTTTTGTCACAACAATTCAGAGAAGTGTGTCTGATCATGGTGTTTATGTACCGGTGTAACTTATATCTAGTGATTTAGTGAAGAGCTATTACACGAACATGAGCCCCACAGATATAGGAGAATTCTTCGAACTTTGTAAACATATCTGGTGTTGTTTTTATGTTTTTTATGGTTACTGCATTCTGCCCAATAGGCGCTGTAACACTCTTAGCATAATCTACTTCTGTGTGTGCTTGTGAGGGAACATGTGTTATAGTACTCTGCCAGTCATCTATTACTGTGGCATTGCTTCAGCATCCTTCTTATTAGCAAGTTGATTGATATGTTTGCGTAGATTAATTTTGTGTGTGATTTTTGTTGCACCCCACGAACTTTCACAACTCCTGTACGTCTCGCCCTTAACATTCGAAGAAGTCTAGCCGTCACCGACCCCTGTGAGGAGGAAAGATTGAGAAGATCGACGCCCTTCTACTTCGGCGATAATCCTGATTGGTGATAGCTGGGTTGTGATCTGACCGAACGATTGAGACAATGACAAAAATCGGCGGCAAGGTTTGGTGAGGCCATGTGAGGAGGCTAGGCAACTATCTTCCTCGATCGATCGCTGCTACTCCGATCTTGGGATTTGTCCCTTTCCATTTTTTGGCATTCCTCTCAATGAAAGCATCCATTGATACGAATATCGTATTGGATAAAGAAGATCTTCGAGCGTCTTCGAGCTCCGTGAGGGGAGGTGAAGGGAGAGAAGAAAATTGCACGTGATGTGAGCAGGAGGCGAAGGAGAATTAAGAATTTGATATAATTCTTTTCTGATTGATTTATTAGTAATAACGAAGGGTTACAGTATATAAAGAATATAGATTACTCTAATTGACCTAGTGGGCTCGGACCCATACTAAAACTTTAAACCCTATTAATTATAGAATATTAAATAATACTGCGCAAATACTAATTAACTAATAATTAAATATGTTAATCACCATACATATCATACTTCTCCTCCTCCCCCTCCTTCCAATGCAGCAACCTCTCCAGGAGAACTCTTTTTCCCCCCTTACTCACTCCATCTGATGCCGGAGCCCTTATGGATGAGATTAAGGCCTTTCTTTTACAATGCATACTTTGTTCAAAAAGACACGTATGTCGTACAGAAATGTCGCATAACTTAATGTCTCATTAACGAATGTCGAAATGAAGTTATGGCGTCCATGTAAAACTCGCGAGAAGTTTAATGGGTCTCATATGACTTTATTTATACATTCGGTGTGGGTACATGAAAGTGTGCGGCGTGAACACTTTATAGAAGACCCCAAAGCAATCAAGAAATAATAAAAGTGGGGAAAACATCACTTGAAAAAAGGGAATGGATGTCTATACAATGCCTTGCCAGACCATGATGCAATTATAGCCTGGCTCCATGGCTACCGGAAATATACCAATTTCTTTCAACTACATAAGCTTCAACCCAATGTTTTCTGAAATGCAAACATGGCTTATTGATACTTACAGAAGGGATATGCAGGCCGATATACATCTTCATATTGATAAATTGTCTTGGGCAGTGAAGAGTACAAACAAATTTAGATGTCATTTGAGTAGAGGCATTCATCCACAAGATGGCGAAGGTTTGGGTTCTCCAGTGCAGCAGCGATTCTTTCCTTATCATTTAGCTGCTTATTTACTAGATCATATAATTCACAAAACAATAACATTGTTAAATACTACTCCATCCCCCCCCCACCACCACCACCAATTCACCCACCCATCCACCCTACACACACAAAAAAGAAAGAAAAACAAGAAATGTTCTATTACGCCTAAAAAATAGTCGTATTTGATTAAACGGAGCTAATACTTCATGTACTTTTCTGTTAAATGCGATAAACATGGGTATAACACCAATTTTAAAAATATACGTGTGAGATTACACAGTTTTTAAGAGTTGTCCGTTGCAAAAATCTCAAATATGCATTGGGTATTTGACAAAGAAGTGGACAAAGATAGTGGTTGGTTAGGGTGAGTGGCCCAACCGTCAACGTCCCTAGCACGGGTGTAATTCAAAAGTTCTCATTCTAAAAATTACTGCAAGCATTTGACATTTATTATAGTCCTTGGGAAGTCTTTTATTTTTTTAAATTTGTCATTGTTGTTAAAGTCCATTGTTCATTTTGGCTGATTTTTACAACAGTGCCCCAAATTAGATAGGTCTTATAAGAACCATTCAAATTCACCTGACTCTTCATCAGCATGAGACCCTGGAGCCACTTTTATATCTACCTGTGAGTGAAATTTTTTGAAGAGAAACTAAAGATGAAGAGCCTGAAAATAGAAACTTCTCTGGGATATGTGGGAAGTTAATAACACAACCTTGTGATGAGGAGGAAAATAATTCTTCAGCTTCTCTCTCAAGCACAATCCGATTACAGTTGCCATAGTGCAATGTTGGATAGTTGGCGTAAATGTTATCCTACAAATAAAGAACAGAATCCGACAACAATAAGAGCTTAAACTGCAATCAAATGATTTGTTTCTTACATTTGGTAACAAATGGGGTTTTCCAACATTCGGTCACACACTCATACTAAAGAAAGAGGCACACTCATTAACCACTATTCTAGAAATCCCTGCCTAATAGCTAAAACTCCTTGACGCTTCTTCTTCTAGGGTCTAGGGAGGGTTTGGGTACGCAACAACGTATACCTCACTCAGTTACTCCAACTTGGAAGTAGAGATGGTTTCAAAGAGAGCCACGACTCAACATAATAACACAAACAGATAAAGAGCACGGGCACGAGAAGCACACATACCAACTCTGTCACTAGACCCAGAGAACAGAAGTGACATTTTGCTTGGAGGGACGGCGGATTCAAAGAGGCAATGTCACGAGCCAAGAGCCATATACACAAACAACTCCGTATTAATTAAATCAACCATATATCTAGACTGGCATCATTGCATAACACAATCAACTTACTTGTAAGCTCTAATGAACAAGAACCAATATTCTCATTAATTTTGAAATTTGCAGACCATGAGAACAATATAGTATGAATAAAAACAGAAGATTCTACAAATCAGAACAACAAATATTGCAGGAAAAAGGCACAGCCGGGCTCAAAACCAGCACCGGTTGAATAACAATCAAGGGAGAAATGGTATAGACTCACAAAATGCGGCCAAGTTTATCATCAACAGTAATGGACTCCTCGGAGAGGACGCTGAGCTGCTCTAGGGAATAGGGATGCTCCGGATCTCTTATATCCCTAACGAAATGTGGCCATTATCAAAGGTCAAGGAATCGTTTCAACTCAATCGCAGTTGTTAATTATCTAAACAAAACAAAACAAAAAGAGCAAGAGAAGGCGTGAGAGGATATCATAGATTTCCAGGGGATCGACGGCGGCGTGGGGATCATCGGAGCGCGCGATCCGCTCCTTCTTGGCATAAACCACTGGATTCGCATTGACCAGCCCCAGCGTCATCTTCCTCCTCCTCTTCCTCCCTCAGCTCACACGGATTGCTCTGAACCGTACCTTCGTCTTTTTGCCGTCGATTTTGTCAAGGAGTGTTTTTTTTACTCTTTGACTTGTGCTGCAAAGGTGGATGAGTCTAGACTCTAGACATGAGCATGCTTTAATATCCATATGGGCAGGCCGGCCCGAGCCCGAATTGTATATATGACGGATATGGAACCTACATTTAACCCATCCGAGCCAGCAGGCCCACCCATATTTTT